CTGGAATGAGGTATTGAGGAAAGTATCTCCTCAGTGTCCTAGGGACAGCCCAAAGAAAGCTCTGGATTAATTTTTCTGGCCAAGAACCGTCCTTCTCTGTGCCATGTTTGCTGAAAGCTGTAAAGATACCTGAAAGCTGTAACAAAAGGCTCCGTGGGTGGTTCTGGGGTCCTGTTACCTGTCCGTTCACACCTGTAGTGCTGTCCCTGAGCAAAGTGTCTTTGGCTGAGCCTCTGATTCGCATCTATCCTGGATTCAACTGTCTGTCCCATGGTTTAACTCCTTATATCACTCTCGTGTATCGGAGACTTATCATATATCTCACTTACCGTATCTGATTAATAAAGTAATGATAGCTTGGGCTAACCGTTGTCCGTGGCACATCCCTCTGGGAGTGAGCAAAAAGGCTTGCCTTGTCCCCAGTCCTCTCTGCTCCTCAGAAAACTGCGATAAGACTTAAAGTCTCCTTTTACCTGCTCCCATGTTTTAGTTGCAGAGTCAATGTATCGCCCTATTTTGCGTCAGACAGCGTGAATCCACACGATTGACACAGACAGGCATGACTTGTGCCCCGTAGCCGGTGGCATGAATAAAAAGTCTGCTAGAGAGGTCTAAAGAGAGATGTCTAAAGACAGTAGTATTCCTTTTGCCACCTCTCTTCTGGCAACCACACATTTGGGGAATTTGCTTCTGTTGTATTATAGACTTTTTTTCTTAAAAGCTGTAATTTATTCTCATATTTCTGCCTGTGTTTTTATTTTCTGGACCTTATATAAATAACAGTGAAATCTGCTCTTCTTGAATGGATGAATAAGAAGGGCACAGTCCCTCCCTTTATGGTTTGCTACCTGGTAAATTAGTCAACGCTGTACGTATAGTTGTTGGAACTGCTTGGGAATTTTCAATCGGTGTGTTTACTCATCAGTCTCCGTAAATTGCAAGCAGGATTGAAATTCCAATCTCTGAGGACTAAAAGCTTTCCCAATTCTGTGCGAGCCTCGAGTAGCAAGAAAAGAAAGAAAATGCATTTTTAATATATGTAAATATGAAACCGCAAAGGTGGCCAGAGGGAAGGAGTGGAAAGCAAATAACCTGAAAGGAGTTGTAGTTTTATATTGATGACATCTCAATTAATTTAATGATGACCACTTAAAATGGGACTGGGGACTACAAGGCTCTAATGGAGAACAGGCACTTGGGCTTTTACAGTATAAGGGCGGTTCAAATACAAACGGATTTGGAGGGGCTAGAAAAATCAAAACTTTCTGGGCTATTATATTTTGGCATAGCTCCAAGGCTTAAATGGACTTGTGCAGTGTGTATGTTACGTTGTGTTTCCACCTTTAGGACAAAGCAAAATGGAACTTAAAGCGCAACACTGAGACCTATAGGGAAAAGCCTATGGGGAAAGCATTTGGGTGGAGCGCCAGTTAGACACACAGGCATAAATGTCTGGTTTAACTACTAGGAATGGTTCTCTGACAAACTTTTTACAGGAGGAAATACAATTATTATTCATTATTGAAAATAACTCTTTGCTATTCATCAGTCTGTTGTTTTTAAAAAGTTACCTCCCTCAGGTCTGGGGTTAGAAATGAATGCTACCTGGCACAGCTATTTGGCAGGATAATTTCATATCAGACAGCTCATAGGTTTCAAATTATTTCACAAAACCATAGAAATGAATACTTAATAATGATAAATGTAGTCCCAGAAACCAGGGAAAATCACCCAACAACAGAAGGAAGGCTCTGGTTTTTTTGGACAATTTCTTCATAACAAATCATTTGACTAACTATAAAAAAGTGTAAAGTCTAAGAAGCTTTCACCATATACACTTATAATTCAATAGACCTGAAAAGCAGGTTGATTTTTTTGTTTGTTTGTTTGTTTTGTTAAAACCCCTGGTGGCAGATTGTTGTCTGGTCTAAACTGGTGCGATTTTTTTTGAAGACAGTATCACCAAGTCAACCAACCCTGGGGTGAAATTTGGCTCTGTGCTGTGATTTTTATTTTTTTATTTTTTTTAAGAGCATTAGTACCACAGGCTGTACCTGCCAGATATTTCTTCCCAGAGCCTCCCCAGGGGACCAGAGGAAAAATTTAGTGCCAAAGCAAAGCTCCTGGGGCTGAGTTGACCACCGGCCTGGCCAAATCCCCTGTCCTGCAGCAAGGAGAACTCTCTAGAAGCGTTTACTCCTGCCCACCCTTTCCTACCAGAAATGCCACAGCAATTCTTCTGTGCTATATGGGAGTTTGCAGCATAATAAGTGTCGGGAAAACAGTTGGTCAGTTGGACAGGGAATTTAAAGAGAGTAGACTTTAAATAAATAAATAATCTACTCAGAAGTTCTGTAATAAAACAGGTAATTTATTTGTATATATCAAGGAAGTATTTAATTATCATATACAGAAGTATTCCATTTTATCTATGTTCAGTCTTACTATGTAATTTAAGTCTCTCAGTGTATGTCTTAGAACTGTTCAGAAAGTTTCCATCTCTAAACACTGTAACATGGGAAGCCAGAGTTGCAGAAACCTTTTCTTTTCACTTGGTTTTCTTTCCCTGCCAAAACTGTCCTCCAGAAAATTTTCCTGAAGGCTTGAGATGAGGGGTGGAGTAAAAAAAAGAAAAATACAGGTACACACAAGTACTCCAACTACTCTTTCTGACAAATGTCATTATTTCTAAGGGAGAAATAAATCTGTAGAACTCTTTGAGCTCTAATCCTGGTATTTTTCCAAAATATTTCTCTGGTCAGAAGTTGTCCAACTCTGACTAATGAAAGTCAGTGTTTCTAAATTGGTGCAAAGTTAAGCTCTTGTTTGGGACATTTTAAAATTAGCATAAAGGTTATGTCACAGCTGTGAAATATTTCCAATGACTTACAGGATCAGGATTTAGTTTAGCATCGTGCATAAGTGATAACTAAATAGTTTCCCAGATAACTTTGTATTTTACCTGCATCTCTAATCCTACCACTGCAATTGCATGAAAATGTGTTCATCGTTCGTTTCAAGAACAACATGTCATAAATATAGATATCTTTCTGGTGATCTCTAAAAATACTCTTCAGTCTTGTGTGGTTTAATGATTGATGAAGCTTAGAAATGGAACTCTTGTCTGGGGTTTGTAAGATAAACTTACACCATGGGAGTAAAATTCATATGAGCTGCTAAGCGGCAGCAGTGTGAGGAGGGTATTGCTTTAAGATGCTAAAGAATGCTTCTGGCAAAATTTAGGAGCCAGTATAACAAAAGTATCCAACTACCTGGGCTTTGGTTTGGGGCTTTTTTTTTTTTTTTCTTTGAAGAAATGATCCATTTTTGTTCCTGTCATCTGCAAACGTAAGATTTGGAAGAAAGCTAAAAAAGGTCATGGCAGCATATGGTTCTTTCACCTCCTCCTTCCATAATATTATACGCATGGCTGGTATTAATGGTGAGCATGGCAACGTGTTCTGAATGCCTGCAAATAAAATAACCCACTTTCATATACGGCAGACCAATATGCATTTTTAATTATTGCTCAAAGGTCTTGGTTTACAAACAGAAATCCTCCAGCCAGCCACAAACAGATAAACAAAGCACTGGAGTGCACAGTGGGGGCTCACCGGTACCTGCTGCGTTTTGCCACAAACCAAACTCCCTGCTCACAGCACAGCTCCTGCTTTCCCGGCCCCCGTGTTTCCACAGGGCTGGCTACCTGGCTTGTTCTTTTGAAATCTTGATGAAGTTCTCTGGCCTATAAAATACAGGTCAAGCTAGCTGACCGGACTGATCCCTGCCAGGATTAAAAACCGTGATCCTGCTGAGTCCTGAGGACTTTGCACATGATCTGAAGTGCCAGCCCCTTCCAGCATGCAGCCTTCCCCCTCAGTCCAGCAGCAGCAGGCAAGAGTGTCGGCAGCGGTAATGTGATGTGGGGGACGGAGGTTTTGAACCTGAACGGGCTCTACTCGCTGGCAGTAAGCGAGGAA